TGACTGTGGAGGAGACGTATGTGATGGTGAATGGAAGGCCGGAATGGGTGGTGACTATGGACAGGAATATGAATGATTGAGAGATTGAAGAATATGAGTCATTGCTTCATCTTTTATCCACTGCACATTGGGAGGGCAGTAATGATCAACTCATGTGGATATTAAAGAAGCAGGGGGAGTTCAATATTAAGTCTTTTTACAAGTTCTTGAAGGGACGAAATTGAGGGTGGTTGGATCGCTTTCCTTACAATCAGATTTGGAAGTTGAATGTGCTGCCGAAAATTGCTTTTTTTGCATGAGAGGCGGGTAGAGAATGCATATTGATCATGGACAACTTTGGTCAATGGCTATTACCCTTGCGAAGAGACAGTTGAGACATGCAACCATATCCTTCTTTGATGTCCAGTGGTTTATGATTTGTTGACTGTGGTTTATGGTTGTTGTGGATTAATTGGGTTATTGCAGGGTTGGTGAGGGATCGAGAAGAGGTCGAACTTTGGTCAATGGCTGTTACCTTTGCAAAGAGACAGTCGAGACATGAAACTATATCCTTCTTTGGTGTTCAGTGGTTTATGATTTATTGACTGTGGTTTATGGTTGTTGTGGATTAATTGGATTATTGCAGGGTCAGTAAAGGATTAACTTAGGGCTTGGGCAGGTATTTGTAAAAAGAGAAAAACTATATATTTTATTTCTTTAACTATCTTTTGGGTTGTATGAAAAGAAAAGAATAGAAAAGTGTTTGAAGGAATTGAAAGTGAAATGTATATAGTTAGGGATAGATGGTTACACTATTTTGCCTCTCTTTAATTCTGAGGCATGACATTTATAGGATGAAAGATTTTGGGAATGTCATATATTTACTTACCGAGATATAAATATTTGTACAGGGATGACACCCCCTTGGTGTCTTACTAGTAATATGCTGTTTATATATATATATTTTTTTAAAATCAATACACGTTAAATGGCTACCTCTAAGAGGAAACGTCTTTAAGTGAGAAAGTTTTGTCTTACCCTTATTTTATTTGATTTTGGAAGATCTAATACCTTATAGAGGTTTTGCTTTCTGTTAACTGCTTTAAATTGCAAGATTCATCAGTTGCGCAATTGCACGGCTGTGCCTTTTGTCTCCTTGATATGCACAAAATGAAAACAGATTCTGTTATCTCCCTTTTTTTTGCAAAAGATATATCTTCTTGTCTTGAGTTTGCATTATGTTTCTGTGAGTGTATTCTCTCGGACTGTTGAAAGAACTTGGTTGAGAGACAGTGTTGTTCATGCCCTTATAATGCCAGTGCTTGCGCTTGTAGTTGGTGATGAAATTCGTGTACGTAGTCATTAGACAAGAACTGGCCAGTGGTCAAGAAACTTAAGAATTAGTTAGGGTACGTTTGGAACAAATCTAGAAACTTAGTGGAATTCATTTGCAAATATGCACTAATTTTAACTATGGGATGATGAAAATTCTACTAGGAAGATAAAAAAAATTGATCAGATATAGAATTCCGTATGAAATTGGAACTATGCATTCGATGTTTGATCTAAGTTGATCGAATTTGGATGCATCCTTTTAATTCCATTTTTATCATTTTATGATATAATTTGATAGAATTTGGATTAATACATATGTGTGGATTTGCAAAGGACTTCCACTAAATTTCTAGATTTGTTTCTAATATAGCCTAAAAGTTTGTCCACGTGCTTTTGCAGCCTCACAAGTTTTTATGTATTAATCCAAGTATGTGTTATTAGATACAAAAGATAGTACAATTGATGGTTAAGCAGACATCTATAGCATTTCAATTATTCATGATAAGCTAGAATGCAGTTCTCATTACTTTCTAAGTTCTAGGGGTTTTATCTATTATAACACATAGGTTCTGCATTTCTCGAGTTTGAAAATGTGATTTGGGAATTATGTCCTTATAGGACAATTGATGTAATATTTGTGTAACCAGGCACTCTTACAATTATAGATGCAGATGAAGTGTATGTAATTATAAATGGAATACTTATTATAATATTAACATTTAACACTGTTTAATATGAATATTACAAGTTTTTTCTCTTAATATGCAGTCCCTAGGAACTTCAGATTGCTGGAGGAACTTGAACGTGGAGAGAAAGGTATTGGTGATGGGACTGTCAGCTATGGAATGGATGATGGAGATGACATATACATGCGTTCTTGGACTGGGACCATTATTGGTCCACACAATGTAATGGCTTCTTTTTCAGTTGATGAATGACACTTGTGCACATAGAGCGTAACTGTGAATTCACACCAATATTTTGATGTACTGTTCGATACAAGAATTGTTTTGAAATAATTTAACTGTCTTATTGTGCTATCTCTCTCTTGCAAAACGAGATTTTTCTGTTTCTAGGGGATTAAGATGGGCATGTTAGAGCTTTTGAACTAAAATCTATATTTGATGGATAGTATTGCTCAGCATTGCTTTCAGAAATACTGCGCTATCGTGCCATTGTGATGTAAATAAAGTTTTCAGTTCTTTACTTTCTGGGTTATTTGTCATGCTTGGACGTTTCAAATATTGGACAGGATGACTTTTATGCAATAACATGGAGAGGTGTGTTAGACAAATAAGACAAAGTAAATTTATATTAGGTCCTGCTGACATTTTGAAGATATAGCTTAGTCTCTTTGGAGAGATTAAGTTTCTGGTTCTTATCTGCCAGGGGACGAAATAAAGTTGGAATTGGATGTAAGACAACCTTACATACAACACAGAGCTTGAATCTAAAATACCATTGAATTACCTTTTTGTGTGTGTAATTGTTTGTGCATAATCTATTGGTTTAGGTTGCTTATATTTTTGCATTCTTTCCTTCCAGACCGTGCATGAGGGTCGGATTTACCAGTTGAAGTTGTTCTGTGATAAAGATTATCCAGAGAAGCCACCAAGTGTTCGATTCCATTCACGGATCAATATGACCTGTGTCAATCATGAAACTGGAGTGGTATAATTGTATAAATTTAATTTTTAATCTGCTAGTTTTTCAGTGGCTGCAGTAGCAGCCCTTTTAACTTCTAGATGCATCTCTTTCTGTTTTCTGTATGATGCAAACTTCTTTGTTCTTTTCTTTCTTTTTTCTTTTCCTGAGAAGAGTGAATCTCTCTTTTCTTTTCTGCATCATTGAACGTGTTGGCGAGAATATGATGACACTTGATGGCTACAGGTGGAACCAAAAAAGTTTGGACTTCTTGCTAATTGGCAGCGAGAGTACACGATGGAGGATATACTGACTCAGCTGAAGAAGGAAATGGCAGCCCCACACAATCGAAAGCTGGTTCAACCTCCAGAAGGTACCTACTTTTAGATTGGGAGATCATATAGCCATGGTGGAAATGCAATTATCCAATATATATTTTGTAATGCTGTGTTATCCTGTTGAAGATAGAACTTGGAAGGGAATGCCCTCAGAAAGCTTCTCCTATTACCTCTCCCTGGGTTCATTATGGCTTTGTCTCTTTCTTTTTTCGAAACTGTTTTCCAAAGGATTATTCTGTTTGATTAATGGATTTTATCTGTGTGTCAACTAAATTTATACAATTTAAATAGAATCTTAGTTCAACTTTGTGGGAAGTTGAATATAAAGGCTCAGTGGATCTTTTTTTCTTTCCAATATGTTGTTGAAATCATCTGGTGTATCTCTGTATAGATGGAGCTTTATGGATGTTGACCATGTTATATGGTAACGAAACCTGCGCATCTGAACTTGGTAATTGACTGGATACATGGGTTTTGAGAAATTAAACCATAGATACCCTGATATGGTATCCTTTGGGATGAAAAAACTCGATAATAGTAAAATAAGGATATTGCATATATTTCATTCAGTTTTCAAGTAATTGTGAAATGGACTGCATTCGAATCATCTAGTTTCTTGGTTGGTCTATGGAAAGTGTGTGCGTTAGGCTTTTGTATTCAGCTGCTGTTTGGAGGGAAACAATGATGTGATAACAAACCCTAGGATCCACCATTACTTGAAAAGGAAAAACAGATTGACAAACCCCAGATCATGAAGGTAGGATTGGATTGTAAATTTGCTTTTAATTTTCTTGGGTCAAGGTCATGGGAGAAAGTGAAGAAGGCCATTAGGTTTCGATTCCTTTTCCTCTTACTAATATCTCAATTCATGTAGGAATTTTGTTACTGCAAAAATGGAGGATTTGGGGAGTGAAAACTTGTTTCAGAATATCGCTTGCTTGCGAAGAGTACTACTAAACGTAAAAAGAAGGTCCATACAAAATTTTGAGAAAAACAGGATTATACTTTTTGTGAACTAAACTAATGAACATTATCATAAAATAAAGAAAGGAATTGGAACATGTAGGTAAGTCCAGTTTCAATTGTTGTACAAGTTTAATAAAAACAGTGTCCTTTTTCTAAGGATATATTGGTGTTACTGGTTCTTCAGTGTTGTTTTTTTTTTTTTTATCTATTGTTGTATGATAAGGGTACATAACCCTGGGTTAGAGCCAAGGTAATGTTCGAGTGAGCCAAGGGGCACGAACCCAGATCATTGTCCAAATACAAACCCTTGTTTCTGGTTCGGTTCATACATAATTGTTTCGTCTATCTCTGGTTCTTACGTTTGACAAACAAACAAACAAACAAACCTATCCTTCCAAGAGCCGGGCTACGACCCTCTTAATTTAATTTTATAATAAATATTATTTAAAAAATAATAATTGTAGCACGTGATTTTCGTGTGGCGATTGCAGTGCCGGCAGCAAGCTTAGCGCCGACTTTAAAAGTGCTTTACTCGCGCTTTGGTCAAATTGAAGTTAAAAGCCGCGGCTAATAAGCTTAAACCGTTAACAAGCCACTAGGCAGCTTTTTTGCCTTCTCTTTAATTACTTATTTCTATTTTTCACTCATCTTTTAATCTAATTTACTTACCACAATGTTATAAATCGAGCCGTTGATTAATGTAGTAATTTAGGTAAATAATCTATCTCAATTACTTTATTAATTTTTTTACAAATTTTTTTACTGTTTTTTATGAATCATCAATTATCAAAATACGTTAATATTAATTTATTAAAAAAAATATTTATCTAATGTAAAATTCTTAAACTAGAAGTTATGTATATTTTTAAATTCATATATATTTTTTCTAATATAAATTTTAATTTTCCTTTAATAGTATGATTACGTTTGTATTTATGGAATTGTAAACTAGGGTTAATAACTACTAATTTTTAGGGTTTTTTTTTTTTTTTCTGGGGTAGAAATTTTAATGCTATCAGTTTACTTGGTTAGCAAGCCGAGTGAGCCAACTATGGTAGCTAACAAAATCCGCAGATTATTTGGCAAATCCGTAATTTCAGTCACAAACTACGTGGGTTTTTAACCAAAATTGTTTGTTTTTTTTCTCATAAATAAATTATATAAATTCTGATATTAAAATAAAAAAAATAAAAAAAACCCTAAAATAAAATCCCATGCATCGGTACGCTTGTACGCCATGCATATTCGTATTGTACAGCCGACATATTAATTATTTATTGTTATTTAAATAAAAATAGCTGCAGTAAAAAATGAAACACGAAGTCATTTTACTGTTTCACAGCACAACTGACTTTTTACTTTTTTTTGTTTTTTTGGGGGGATGGGGGTGTGCGTGAATAATCTACCCCCACGTCTTTTATAAAAACTGATCTCTTCCGTCGTCTTCTCAAGAAATCCCTAAATTGGTTTAAACCCTAGAAAGAAGATCAGAATCAATCGGACTCGTTAATCGAATAATAACACCTTGTTTTTCTTCGTTCACGTTTTATTGTGCGAATACATATGCCCTTACATCGCTTTCCATCTTAACGGAAAATCGCGTATTGGCCCGATTATGGATCCGAACGATGCAAACG